AAAGGTCTTCATTTCAAGAAAAACACCAGTCGTGACATAGAACTTTACACTGATGCTGATTGGGCAGGATCAGTGAGTGACAGACGATCTACAAGTGGTTATTGTAGCTATGTGTGGGGCAATCTTATGACATGGAGAAGTAAAAAACAGTCTGTTGTGGCTTGTAACAGTGCATATGTAGAATATCGAGCTTTATCTCATGGTATATGTGAAGGAATTTGGTTACAAAGATTAATGAAGGAACTTAAAGTATCCTATGTTAAACCTATGAAGGTATATTGTGATAATCAAGCTGCTGTCAGTATAGCACATAACCCAGTTCATTGCGATTGTACTAAACATGTGGAGATAGATCGTCATTTCATCAGAGAGAAGGTAAATTCAGGAGAAGTTTGTATCACCTATCTTCCTACTAAGCAACAAGTTGCAGACTTGCTAACTAAAAGTCTGAGTAAGAATGTGTTTGAAGATTTTATTGGCAAGCTGGGATTGATAAATATCTACACACCAACTTGAGGGGGAGTGTTGGAAATCTTAGAATTAAGGGACTGATTCTTCTTCCTTATTTTTAGGAGTTAACTTAGTGTAAATATGTCTATAATTGTAGTTCCTAATTTTTAGTGATTCTTTCCTATTTTTTGCACTAATTCTTACTTTAAAAGATGTAATATGCTGTTAGAGAAATATCAGAATCATTTTTCTCAAATCTGTTCAATATGTATACCTTATAAAAGATCAACCAAATGCGTTTGCAGGTTGAGATGACTACCGGAGCAACTATCCACACAACACGGGGGCTGAAGATGACAGTTACACGAAGAATAAAGCCTCCAATTATCCCAGAAATAAACATGGAGGGATTGAAGATGGAAGCAGAGACCCAACTTGGAGAGAAAGGTGAAGTTTCTCAAGCTCATTCATTAGTAGAATAGCTTTCTACATTTCATTACACAATGCATATGTATCAATGGGAAGTAAAATGGGTATATATTTTAGTATTCTTCCCTTCAATTAGCTGTTTAATGCAATCAAAATAATTGATTGCTTGTTGTTCATCTTGTCATATAGTCCTCGTGGATGATAATTTGGGTTTCCAAATAGCTCCTGAGGTTTCTGGGTTTGGACTGGAAATTGTTAAAAAAAAATGAATCTTTTAGCTTAAGGTAGGTATTTGTAAAGTTTACTGGCTCCAGAAACCAAGATGACCCTATGGTTTTATACGGCTAATTTGTTCGACACATGTATGCTAATATATTTTTTACTTCTTTTTAATATATTTTGGAGGATTATACCTCTATGCCAACATTTTAACATCTTTCAGATATTATCAGTTGAAAAAAAAAATATCTGTCAAGTATAGGGGTAAAAATATATCTGTCAAGAAATACTAAAATCTTTCGGATAACTCTTTCGGACACATGTATAGTTATGTAAGTTTAACATAATTGAAGACCACCTTAAATCCCAGGTTGGGATAGACCTCCACCAGCAGGCATATCTGTAGGTTTTGAGCAAGAATAGTCGATAAAAGTATCGAATTGATAGCCAAGGAAAACTGTGAAAACCTCACAAGATAGGCAATGATTTAATTACTATGTGCATTTGGTAGGAGGATTGAAGAAAAATTCCAAGACTGGAGTGTTGAAACCATAAAATAAAGTTACAAACACACTACTCATTCTATTGTAATTTCAAACAACGTATTGAAGGGTGAAAGGAAGAGAAAAAGAAAATGAAAGGGAGATGCTAAATCAGTGTCAAATTGGCATTGTGCATTTCTTTTGAGAATGACCTAATAAATAGCATCTACCACAATGAACAACTCTCTTCGGCCTCTTCAAGTTCTCTACACGAAAAACTTTCTTTTTCGGTCTTCCAGGTGGCCTACGAATTCAAGGAGGGCGTATGGGGATATCATGCTTGACAGCTCCACCGTCGGCTCCTTCACCGTGCTCCTTCTAAACACTCTTATCCGGAATAGTATGCATCATCTGCGAATAGGTCTCACGGTAGCTTCCCACTGTGAAACAAGGTTCAGCAAACAGGTGAGCGTTCTGCCCACAAGAAATAAGGGCATCTGCAGCATGAGCACATGGTAAACCATACAGCTGCCAACGGCGACAGCAGCACACTCGACTCCTAATATCCACGATGTTTGTCCTCTCCGTTGAGACAATCTCAAACTCAACTTCATTTGCTCTAAGTACTTGGTAGCAACGAGCATCAGCAATTGCCTCCGAAATCCGCTTCTCGGCAGATGGAACAAGAATTGAAGTCCATCTCATTCCCATTTCACGATGATTGGTAAACCAAGTAGCTAGCTGATTGCGAATATGTTCCATTATTTGCACAATGGGGAGCTCGTGACATTAGAGTGTCCAATTATACAACATCTCAGTAACACCTAGCGTAAAGTGGCCATATCATACTCCTTCAAAATATGCTACCGCCCAAAGCTGCGGAGGAAGTAGCTCTCAAGCTCTATGGTAGTGAGAGCATAAACAGCATTCCAGAAGATATTAACCAACTTTGCATTCTTCAATGTATCACTGAAATTTTCACTGACGTAATAGACAAAAACCATAAAATGCACTTGGAAAATGTGTTTCTACAGCGTCTACGATGCCTCGCTGTCTTTCAGACAGTCTAGGTATGTTTTCAGTGTTTACACCAAGAAGCTTCCTCAATTCTGACATAAACCACATCCAATTCTCATCGCTTTCCACATCAACAATAGCAATTGCCAAGGGAAACAATGCATCATCAGCATCAACAGCCGCAGCACAAAGTAATGCACCCAAGTATTTTCCTTTCAGTTCTGCCTTATCAAGTTCTAGAAGTGGTCTGCAAGCAGTTATAAACCCATAGATAGAAGCACGGTAAGAAATAAAAAGGCACTGGAAACAATTTTCTTGTCCGGTACCAAAAACCAATGCCACGCTTCCAGGGTTGTTTTTTCTTATTTGCTCACAGTATGCAGGAAGAAGGCGATAACCTTCTTCAAAAGTCCCATGAAGTATACACGACCTGGTGTTAAATAATCAGCAGTTACGAGAGAGAAGCAGTTTTTGAGTAAATATCGAAACGGATCCCCAAACTTTCTGCACATAGCATATTAGTATTGAATTTTAAAAGTCTAAAATGTAAAAGAATCCATCAACTGTACCACTTTGTATCCTCTCTTAAAACCTTTTCAAAAAGGATCTTGGCCACTTCCAACTTTTTCAATCAAAAAATCCCTAAAAATCAAGAGGATTGATTTGTATAAAATTATATTAGTTTATTTAAAAGTATTGTTATATCAAAATGTATAAAATTATAATAAACATTCTATTAGTGAATTTATTTTAAGATATAAAAATGGTTATAAATAAAAATAAAACCTAAAATCATTAACCACCACATCAATGAGAACAACAGGAGAAATATATTTGGGAGTTGGAACATTCATGTAAAAAGAACAAGAAGGAGCGAGAGAAGAAAGTCCATTGTGCTACAAACATGAATACACGAATTAGCATTCGAGTCTTTGTGCTTTAGCTAGACGAGCCACCGAAAGATCAAGACGTGGATGTAGCGAGTAGTAAACGAGGGAGAGGCACCACTAGTAGTTCAAGCCTCTGCCCACAGGACGTGGTTGCAAGAATAGCAGCAGGGAAACCAACCCAACCATCGAGAGGATGGACTTGGTCACAACACAATCTCGAACCATATGGACCACAGCCATGACCACACATACAACAACTACCAACGTACCCAATAGGTGACCGACTGGAAGCGCTAACCGCCAAGAGAACAAGCTGATTTTGGATAGAGTAGGCAGCCTTGCAAGGTAGAGCCGTAGTCGGGGTGAAGAAATGTGATCGTGTTGTGACTGCAATAACCAAAAATAACCCCAAACCAGTCGTGTAGACACCAGATGAATGCCCACCTCAGATCAATGTGTTCCCGACAGCTAGAGCTTTAGGACAGCATAGGATCGTCATTGCAAGAAAACGCGAGATACATTCCACGAGTTAGAGTCCGGACACATGAACTCACCGCATCGGATAGGATTGAGAGGGCTTTCGACATATGATATCGAGAAACAAATGGATGCAAGACCTCCCCACCGATCTATATGCATATTGTTAATACCCAGCTGTCAATGATAGCCCTCCTGAAGCGTAGTGAGGGCACTGTGGAGACTTGGCCAAGCATAAATCAGTCTCTCAGACGAGTGAAAGAGGCGCCACACTTGCGTATCGAGGAGGGCCATGTTAAAAGCGTGGAGATCCTAAAATCTAAGGTCGCCAACTCGCTTAGAGTCGACCGAACCCATACTCTATCAACGACTCAACCAAACCACAAATAATCTAATAGACCACGAATCAAAGATGTCAAGTATTTGTCACATATATATTAATTAAAAAATTAATTTCATTCATTAAATTAAAATTTCTTTTTATCGAGAGTGTATCAGTTATTATAAAAAACAAAATTTGTAAAAATAAAAAACTAAAACTTTTGATTAGATATATAGAATTAATATTTTGAAATTTTATGATTTCTTTTTTTTTTCTATATGAAATTAATGTCATCACCTTATTTTTTAAGATGTAACATTTGATGTTGACCAACAAATCAATAGCAAATGCTCAGAATTGGAAAGTTTAAGAGAATATATATATATATATATGAAATCATAATATCTATCATGAGGGAATATTCGCATAAAACATTATTTATTACAATATAAAATTAATATGTTAAGAAATTAACATGAGAATCTCAAAGAATCTATTTTTTCAATCATAACCGCCAACCAAAATAATTCAACCCCGTATTCTTTTTAGGGAAAAATCAAAATTTCTCAATATTATTTGATAATGAATAAATAAAATAATGATATTTTACACACTGTCTACTGTAATCTTCCAAAGGGTGGCTGCCACCCTCTCTCAGTAATTCCTCAAATTTTATTCTTTCTCTATAAATCTTATCAGTATTCGTGGGGGGGAAAACACTCCAAAGAAGGCAGCAACAAAAACAATATCTATTTCCTCCCCAAAACCCATCCAGTCAATTGTTGAACGGAGAGATCATCTTAATGGGCTTTTGTTTCCAAAACTTTGCTTCTTTGCATCTTCTTCATGCTCTTCCATGGCTCCACATCTCCGCTTTCTTCTGATTCTTCATAGATTACCCATCACCCGCATTCACCTCCTCCTTATTTTCCTCCATTCTCTCTTATAACTCTTCCTTCTCGCCGGTTTTTCCCGGTTCCAAGAAAAAAAGCCCGGATTTTTCTTTCATTTCGAAGTTGAATTCAGGAGGGAAAGAACAGATCTTTGATTAAAAAAAGGTACCCTTTTGACGTTTTTATCTTATAGAATTGAACTTGTACAAGTGTTTTAGGAAATTCAGTATCTTCTCATGAACAGTTTTCTTCTTGTTCCTGTGGTTTTTCTGTTTAGTTGGCTAGAGAAACTGGTAATTGAAAAGATAAGCACCCTTTATCTGAATCGGATGAACAATTAAGATCTTAATGATGATTTTTCTTTTTTTGTTTGTTTTTTCAGTTAGCAAACTGAAATTTTAAGGAATGGCATCTGTGCTATTGTACCATGTGGTAGGGGATCTGACGGTGGGGAAGCCGGAGTTGGTTGAATTCCCGGAAACAGAGACGGTGGAAGCAGCTATAAGAGCGATAGGAGAGTCGACAGAGTGTGGGATACCAGTTTGGAAGAGGATACCTGCTGTGGGAATGGTTGAAAAGAATGAAATGAGACAGCAGAGGTTTGTTGGCATTTTAACTTCACTTGATATTGTCTCCTTTTTAGCTAAATCTCAGTGTTTGGAAGATCAAGATAAGGCTATGAAAACACAAGTTTCTCATGTTGTTGTCCCTAATAATTCTCTCTTGAAGATTGTTGATCCTGCTACCAGGTTAGTTCACAACTGCTTATGTTTAATCACTTGCTTCTTTATTTATTTTTTTCAACTTAGAATCTTGGAAAAAGTTCACATTTTCAGACGATTGACCTATGGCTTTTACCTCAGAAGAATCTTCATGACTTGAACTTTATGCTAAAGTGATTTACACTTTTATCCTTGCCCTCATACATGGAGGAGAGATTCAGTGTGGTGCCTTGTTCTTGATAATAAAAGTGTAAAACATGTCTAGTTTTTTACTTTTTCAATCTAGATTCCATTTTTTTACTGTCTGCTACTAGTTGTCTTTTCCAGAATAAAGCTTATGCTTTTATTCTTTTTCTTTTTCAAAATGTGCTGTCTCTTGAAAAGCAACTTTACTATTTGTGCTCGGTACATTCCTTGTAGACACCCTAAGATAACCAAAATTTAGACTCATGTCAACACTGAAACCAATGCTCTAGGATGATTGTGTTTTCTTATGTATCTTCATGTTTGTATAAACATTCTCTTGTTATAAGCAACTGTTATTCGATTTGTCATTATTATTATGCCATTGCTGAATGGATGATAGCAGCAGCATGCATTACCATTGTCTTTTTTCTTTTCTTTATTCATCTTCTGCTTCTTTTTAATTAGTTGTTATTGTATTTTATTTTTATGGCCATCTTGAATGTTTCCCTTCAAGCATTCGGCGACAGATGCTTTATTTTCATTGCTAATCAAGGAATTAGGCAGTTGGAAAATCAATTATTATGTTCCGCTTCATGCTTTTTGGGTTGCAATTTAATGGAACGTAAAAGAAAATATAGAACCTGTCAAGTGTTTTACTGTGAACTTCTGTTCACTGATAGTGGACCTCCTTTCTTCTGCTCAAAGTTTCTTAAGCTACCACGCAGAATTGATGGTTCTTATCTAGGATTGTTTGGGTAGCTAATTGACATGGTTTTAATTCGGCCTGTTTAGGTAGACTTAAGAAGTTGTACTGTATACATGTGTGTCTGTTTTGATTAGGAGGAAGCATCTTGCACTTGGAGTCGATCGTGTATCCTTTGTGTCAGTTTTTAGCTTTTGATTTCTAAAAAACAATGCATGCTAGCTTTTGCCAAGAAGCTGTTTCATATCTAATTTTTTTGGCTCTGCCTTTGATGTTCTATATCAGCATTGTTAATTCTTCGTTGTTGGGCTAGATTGATAGATGCACTTGAGATGATGAAGCAGGGTGCGAGGCGATTTCTTGTTCCAAAGAGCAAAGTATGGAAGGGCATGAGCAGGCGATTCTCGATTCTTTATAATGGGAGGTGGCTCAAGAACAATGAAAATGCTAGCAGCAGCAACCTCATTCCTAATGTCAACCGTCCTTCCTCTTCATCAACCTCCACCTACATGCATGACAAGTTTTGCTGTCTGTCGAGAGAAGACATCATCCGCTTCCTCATCGGTTGCCTTGGTGCTCTAGCTCCTCTTCCCCTCTCCTCCATTTCCTTGCTCGGAGCAATTAACCTAGACTATAGCTCCATTGAAGCCTCGCTCCCAGCTTTAGAAGCAACTCAAAAACATCCCGGTGATCCCAGTGCAGTTGCCGTTGTGGAGATCACACCAGATGGCCACCGTCAGATTCTAGGAGAAATCTCGGCCTCAAAACTATGGAAATGTGACTACTTGGCTGCTGCTTGGGCTTTAGCTAACCTCTCAGCTGGACAGTTTGTCATGGGAGTTGAGGATAATTCGGGTTCAAGATTGTTTCCCGATTTTTCTGTTAAGTCGCCAGATCAAGATAAGAAAACAGAAAATGGTGGCGGGTCAGCAAGGCTAAGGAGATTCAGTAGTAGAAGCATCGGGTTTAACCCGGTGAGCCCGAGTTTCGGTGTTGGCAGGAGCATGTATAGGGGCAGAAGTGCACCCTTGACGTGTAAGACTTCGAGTTCTTTAGCCGCAGTCATGGCTCAAATGCTGTCTCATAGGGCTACCCATGTGTGGGTGACTGAAGATGATAACGACGACGTTTTAGTCGGGGTGGTCGGTTATTCCGACATTTTGGTCGCGGTGACCAAACAACCTGCTGCACTGGTTCCCTCTACTCGATCCATCACAGAGCTTGCCTCGGGAATTCATAGCTGAGTTCCCCCCTTTCCGCGCCTTCACCTTTGTATATGTTTCCTTGGTATTGTATTACATCATACATTATTATTGAACCGTTATTACCTAATATTATTGATCGGACAATAAAAGGATGAAACTCAAGAACATGATTGTCTAATCAAAACAACCATAAAGAATCATTCTATTATATACTTCAAATAGTTTATAAATATTTTTTATATACTTCAAATAGGCTTTTTTAATCTTATAAGAATCTTTAACATTTAATTTGGATTTCTTAATTGTCTTAATATTTTATGTAATATTGTAAAAAGCTGATATAATATAAAAAAAAGATGCATGATTTGCTAAATTTTTAAACAAGAAAGAAGCAAATGTAGGATTTGGAATCAATCAATAAAATTAGAAATGAAGTTTATGTGTGCTCTCAGCAATAAATCTCATTGAGCATGAGCTCAACCTAATTATGTATAATTGTATATGAAAAATAGGAATACTTTTATCACAAGGTGATGCTACATTTGCCAACTCTTCTTAAAAGTAGCACAAGGTTGTTGCATCATGTCCAAATCCTATTATCAAGACGAAACTTTTATATTATGGGATGAATTTATAAGTTTTAAAGAAGGTAAATTTATAAAATTTTAGAAAAAATAAAATATATTTTTAATAAAAAATACTAAGAATATTAAAATATATAATAATTTAGAATTGTTAGGGGACGACCGTCCCCTCCCATCCATCACTAATCATACATTTCCTACTCACAAGAATACTATTCCATATTTTTCGTGATGGTTTGTTATGTTATATTATATCGTCTTATTTATTTTTTATGTATATCTATGATTATTTGATAGTATAAAGACTGAATCGATCTATCTAATATTATATGGATTAATTTTGAACAATCTTTGAAATAGGAGGACTGAATTGATTCATTTAATAAAATAGGAGGACTGAATTTAGTCCCTATGAAATGTTTAGAAACAAACAAATGAAGAGAGCAACAGATATTCTATTTCTCCACCTTCAAACTTGCATCAGAATCAACATTTGTTTTATTCTTAAACGTGAGAAAATAAAAAGATAAAATGAAGGTTTCAGAGATGGCATTCAGAGCAATTACAGGTTTTGGGAACGAAAGAACAGAAACCAAAGGGTCTGTGAGGAATGTCAAAATCGATTGCATAGCAGCAAGGAGACGGCGAGCAAGCACCTTGAGCTCCACCACAGCATGTACAAACACCGCATATCTCGAAACTCCCCAGCTTTCTCCTGCTCATCTCCATCACCGTCCTCTCATTCACCAATGGGACCATTTCTGAATACCCTTTTACCTTCAATTAAAGAAACCCAACTCTAAATCCCCAAAATAAAAAAGCAAAGGGATCTACGCATTCGAAGCAAGGGCTTGTGATAACTTACTTGGGCCGTGCTTGTAGCTTCATTGTAGTTGAAGACGTGAGCTGAAAAGAAGAGAAACAGGAGAAAAAAGAGTGACCCATGTTTGTAGCTGTGGGTTTGAAGAACATTTTCTTTTTTGCGGTAGTTCTGTTGTTGGTTCTGTTATATATAGCGTCTTCAATGGGATTTAGGTGGAGGCATAATAAAATTACTTTTGATTTTGACCATGGAATTTCATAGAAAGAAAGGTTGAGGTTTGCGTTTTAATTTTTTCTAAATGTATAATTTTTGTCAGGTTAACAATAAATTATATAATCATTTGGATTGGGCGTCAGTTTGTATAGATTGTGTTACATCTGACTTGTAATGATTCAACAACAACAACAACAAAACCCAATTCCATATGCAATAGGGTAAGGGAGAGGTAGGGTAGTAGGCTGTCCCAACGCTAGGTTGAGAGTAACTTTCATAGAAGACCTCCGGCAGTCAGAAAATTAAAAATATAGATAAAATGCAATGCATGTATAAATAAATACATAAATACATAGTTGAACAGTTTTCATATGCAGTCATTAATATCATTAATATCACCTGCACGTCTGTAATGGGAAGTAATCCCTGCCAATAAATCCCTGCGAAAAAATCTCTGCATATAGACAGAAATGTAAGACCCGGATAAATTTAAAAGTGAAGAGAATGGTACACATAAGTCAACAGTAGCAAGCCCCAGTTCTAAGCCTTCATAAATACCAATAACAGAAACGTATAAAAAGTAGAAGTCATGAAATTACTACAAAGACATTAAAAGAAGACATAGATGATACACCCTAAAGATGTGACCCACACTACTCGACTACCCTAGTCTTAAGTCTCCATACTTTCCTATTAGAGGTCATGTCCTCGGAAAGGGCTAAATCCATCAAATCAGATCTCAAGCAGTCTTCCCACTTCCGCTTTGGTCGTCCTCTCCTTCTGACACCGTCGACTGTAATCGACTCTACCCTCCTGACCGCATCCGACGGTAGTCGCCTAAGGACATGCCCAAACCACCGTAGTCTTCCCTCCCTCAATTTTTCGGAAACAGACACCACCCCCAAGGACATCCTAATAGCAGAGTTTGTTGTCATATCCCACAGAGTCCTACCGCATGTCCATCGAAGCATTCTCATTTCTACGGCCTCTATCCTCCTTACGTGATCCTTCTTAGTTGCCCAACATTCTGATCCATACAATAGCGCTGGTCTTATTGCCATTCTATAAAATTTTCCCTTTAGTTTTAGAGGCACCTTCTTGTCACACAAAACTCCAGTAGCGGCCCTCCACTTTAGCCATCCCGTCTTTATACGGTGTGTAACGTCATCATCTACACCCCCATCTTTATGTATCATAGACCCTATGTACTTGAAACAATCCTTTGAGGGAAGAACATATCCTTCTATGCATACTTCTACATCTTCATCGTTTTGGTCCCCACTGAAGTTTGTACACAAATACACTATCTTTTCAATATTGATCCTTAGACCTTTTTCTTCCAAAGCAGTCTTCCAGATAGTCAGTCTACTATTCAACTCAGATTTTGTTTCAGCAACTAGGACAATGTCGTCAGCGAAAAGCATACACCATGGTACACCAACTGGTGTCACACAATAGATGTCGTCCATAATCAAGGAGAAGATGTATGGGCTAAGAGCTGACCCCTAGTGGAGTCCGATTTCCACCGGGAATGCCTCGGTGTCGCCAACTGTAGTCTTGACGTATGTAGTAGATCTACAATACATATCATGAATCGCCCGGATATAAGCAGTTGGGGTCCGTCTCGTTTCCAAAGTCTTCCAAATCGTATTACGGGGAACCCTATCATAAGCCTTCTCAAGGTCAATGAACGCCATGTGAAGATCTCTAGACTTTTCCCTATATTTCTCCATAAGTCGTCGAAGTAGATGAATCACCTCCGTGGCAGACCTACCTAGCATGAAGGCAAATTGGTTTTCTGAAACCCTAGTAACTTGTCTCAACCTAACCTCTATCACTCTTTCCCATAGCTTCATGGTATGGCTGAGTAGTTTAATACCTCCGTAATTACCACAACGTTGGGGATCTCCTTTATTCTTATAGATTGGTATCACCGTAGACTCTCTCCACTCCTCTGGCATCTTGGCAGTCTCTAAAATAATATTAAAGATGTTGGTCAACCACTTAACTCCCTCTTCTCCTAGGGCAACCACACAGTGATAGGAATTTGATCAGGACCGACATCTTTGTCCCTTCCTATCTTTCTAAGAGCCATTTTGACTTCCTTAAATCCAATCCTACTTGTAGGGCAGTCATTGGCCGTAGTATGATGGTCGACTGACCCAATAACGATACTATCTCTACAGGGAGAGGCACCGTCATTAAATAAGTCAAAGAAGTAACTACCCCAAACCCTCTTAATATCATGATCTTTCACTAAAAGAACACCATTGTTGTCCTTAATAAACCTAATGTACCTAGATCTTTTTTCCTATTCTCCCTAGATTTTGCAAGCCTGAAGATCCCGTTTTGACCTTCCTTGGTGTCTAATCTCTTGTACATTTCCTCGTATGCCTTATCCTTTGCCTTATAATGATTCGAAGATGTTAAATTCGTGGGTAAACCACATTTTATGCGAAATCAACAGCCCCCAATACCCCATTGACAACATCATTATTTTCAAGCACAAAACTACGGTACCAGAGTTACAAGGAAAGACAAAGCATGCAACTACGACCTAAAATCATGGATCAACTTAACTTATTCAGCATCATGTTAATCAACACATGTATGCACGAAAATGCAAGGTCCAAATCCAGAGTTCTTTCTCTATATAATTTTCTCTCCAACCCCCCCAACCAACACCCTTTTTCCCTACTTTTCTCGATCCCTATACAACAACAGTATCACCGTTCAGAGCAAAACAACCCACCTTCCAGAGAGATCCAACAGATATAATCACATTAAATCATTTGATCATGAATTCTAACATACATAGAAACAAGGGATCATGAGGACACATCAAAAATTAGTATTATGCCAAAGTGGCTGGCCAAAAAAAAAAAAAGGCAAAACCTTCTCATGTCTTAAACTAGTGAAATTCTCAACATATTACGTATTTTTTTCCAAGTGGGAGAAGGAAAAGAAATAGAAACACGGCTTCCCATGATTGAAACTGTACCTGATACGATTTTGGCAAGGATATGTACAAGAAAACTCGAATCTTTTATTGGAAATATTCTAAAGGCTCGCTATCATCTTCAAAAGCCTCCTGCAAGGACAAAGAGTATGTGAGATTCTGTGGAGTGACTTACAAGTTCATCATCAACAAGCAATTATGAAGTGAGATCTCCAGGAGCTTTGAAGACATCAGGACATGATGTGTCAATGATAACTCCAACAAAAAATTATATTTTAGGTCTTTTTACTTAAGTTATTGATTGTCTAAAAGTCTTTGACATAACATTTTAGCTATATATAGTTGCATTTAAGACATATTTGCATGTGGTGAATAAGTTTTTCCGAGACAGTTTATTTGACTAAACTATGTTGTTGAGGAGAAAGGTTGTTTGTTGGTTGTGAATATGTAAGAAATGACTAAGGAATAATTTATTTATCGAGACAAATTAATTTGCTAGGGTCAGTGGTGTCAACACACATTTTCGTCCTACTAGGATTCAAACTCCTAAAAATATGATAGAATTTTGCTAGGATTCAAACTCCTAAAAATAGGATA